ACCCTCCTGCTGTGGCTGCTGCACATCCTCCTCCTTCACTAGCCTCTCCGACCTGGATGCAGCAGAGTGAAGCTGAGGGCTTGCCACGTGTCCTCCTTTTCTCAAGGTACTTTTAACCGAAGAGAACAAATTTGCCTTATGTTATTGTTGAGGCAAATAATAACGGAAGCTTCGGAAGCATCTCCATTATAAATTCACAGCTCTGATCCATGCAGAGTTTATAATAACATTTTATTTAGCTGGCTGCCACAGGGCAGTCACTGCTGCTCTTGGAGATTGTCTCCAGACTCCGTGGTGTCTCATCTGAGTGGGAAGTTTCTCTCCCGCCTTGATCAAGGCTTTCTTTGAAGATTAGGGTCTTGCACGGTTATGGAAATGGTTTGGAAAGGCATGAACAGAAAAGGGAAATGTTACACTTTTGGTGATTGGATTGGAGCTGTAGATGGGGTTTTTCTGGGAATGGCTGCAAAATGGCCCCCATGAGCATCATCTGAACGCCAATGGCTTCTTGGTTTGGAAGCATTTCTGACCCTCCATTTCTGGTCCTCAAAGTGCTGGTGGAGGGGTGGGATTCTTCACAGGACGCCCTTCTCCGCACCACTTCTGTGACTGCCATAGCCCAGATGCAATCCCCTCTGCTTGCAGCAGTAGGGAGCTACATATAAGCGGCTTCAAAGAGCCACATGAAAGTCCAGCCATGTAGGGTCTGTAAATAAAAGGTTCATTACTTGACTTAATTTTTTACCTGTGTTTTCAGTCTACACCAGGGATCAAACCAGCAAGAGACTGCTCTCACACCACGAAGAACAAGATCTGACCGGCCACCCACTTTGACGTGCATACATTCCCCCAACCTTTAAGAATATTCACTTATTAACGGAGAACAAAATATTTCAAAGAAGAAGGTGGAATCCTAAGAGTCTTCCCTTCTTCACCATGAAAATTTAATCACAAGCAATTTCACTCATTCTCCTTGCTGAAAATACACCAAAAAGCCTCCCGGCTTGATATGGGTAAGAAACTCTGGGCACCCAGGTGGATCAGGTGAGGTTATATAGTGAAGACATTCGATGCAATTTCAAGCTCTGAGCTCAGCTTGACAAGATAGGATTTTCATGTGGTTTTTGCATTGTGATCACTGTGGGTTGCACAGCAGTGGAAAGTCAACACCAGCATCAATGGTGTCTTGACAAATCTGACCTGCTTTTTGCCTGCAAGTTCTGAATAAGGGATGCTTCATTATGCAGAAGTCCTTGTGTAGCACTGATGATCATGTAAATCCTCTGTTGTTCAATTTGATGTGCCTTTAACTACAGTTGTGACACTTTACTAGATTAAGAATAAGGGGTCCTCCCCTGCTCTCAGTGAAAACGTTGGCGTTTCAACTTTGGACTGGCTGCTGATGTCAATGGAAGTTAAGTGGTTGTATTTTACTTTGTTGAATGTTTTCTGTTTAAGCAGAAAATATATACATATGAGTACGTGTATACTTACATACATACATGCATCCATATACACATGTGTCTAGAACTACTGCTAAGCTTGAAGAGGTTTTCTGATGTTGCACCAGATAAGGCTGTCAACCATCATTACAGAGCAATAAATAAAAGGACTCTGCTGAAATACCATCTAGCAGGTAAGATGATGTCTCCCTTAGAGTTTCAGCAAAGTGGCATCTGCAGACACACACACATAGCCCAAGGGTCAGAGAACAGGACAAGCTCACAAGCTCACACGTTCCTACCAGCGTAACCTCATTGGCATTTCACTGATGTCATTTTTCCTAATATCCAACCTGTAAGTATTAAGAATGACTGCAACTTATTAGCTACAAAGAAGCAGGGCTCTTTTTTTTTCAACACAGAGCTATTCTTAAATCACGTTGCTCTTTAAACATCAGTGTTTCATCCTAAGTTGTTTAAAACTCTTTGTTAGAGAAGGACAGACTTATCAAAAGATGCAGGCTTTGTCCATCACAGCATGTATTATCCTTTCCAGGTGCCATGCACAGTGCACGTTGTGCAAGCTAGACATCACAGGAGACTATTTGTGACGCCTCCACTTTTTTGGTAGTCAGAGGGAGCATCCATAGGCATCTTATCTGGGAAGAGATTCCGTGAATGCTGAATGGATCCGGTTATGTTCTGACTGTGTGTAATGACTGCAGAAGCACTCACTGCCTGGGCTGCCAGCCTCAGTAACTGAACGGGAAGGGAACTCGCAAATGAAGGTAGAGTCATGTTCTTCGGAGGCAAGGAGGGAAACAGGGCTTGATACCTGCTGCGGACACCTTGAGGGTTCCAGCTCTCCTAACGCTGAAGGCAATGGATGGAGGAAAGAAGGGATGGTGGATATTTAAAGTCTTGTTTCTCAGAGTCTCTGGGTAAGATCCTCTGCTGATCTAACTCGGGCAGTGGCTTACACTTGAGTGGAACTATTCTGAGCTGAGGATCTGGCCCACATCGTGTGCTTATTGCTTGATACTAGGAAAAGGAAAATTTCTCCAACTTCTTTCTGCCAAGCAACTCAATCAGAAAAAGTCTCTCCTTTCCTTCTGTTACCAGGAAATTCGCTCCTCCTGAAATCTCTCCTGCACTCCGTGCTTTCACAGAGGATCACTCGACTGATCCCCTACAGTGAAACGCTACCCCCATTCACAGCTAACGGGGAGTTTCTAGCTCAAAAAGGAGAAGGTGAAGCCTCTGCCCCAACCTGCCATGCTGGGCAGGGCTGCACGACCCAGGTGCTGTTCCTTCTCGCAGCGCTCAAAAAGCTAAGGAGGAGCAGGACGCGGAGGTCAGGCTTGGGTGCTGGGAGGTGCCTTTGGCATCTGAGAGTTCATCAGAGCTTGGTGGGCTGCGCTGAGTTGGGACATGCAGAACCAGTGGCATACCCTTAAAGTAAAAGTAGTCAGGACTCCTGCACAGAGAGAGATGGGAAACAACAGAGTCCGAGGTAGAGAAGGCATGAAATAAGTGCAGGCTTCTGGCAATCCCTGTGGCCTGACAGGGTGACAAAGACGGATTTGCTTTGGCTTCCCCCTTACCTTCACGACGGTTACCATGCCTTCGTTGGTGACGGGGTCTGTCCGGATGGTGAAGTGGCCAGAGGGGTCTCCGCTGATAATGCGGTAGACGGCATTCCAGTTGGGGGAGTGAGGCTGGTCCCGGTCCATCACTGTCAGGTTTGCCACCACAACCTCCACTCTGTTCTCAGGAACTTCTCCTGAATACTGGAAACAGAAGACAGGAGAGGTCATGGTGGGAGCATTCTGTTGGTCCTCATGACTACCTCCCCTCTCCCCTACATCAGCACACCAACCGGGAAACCAGTTCCGTGAAGAGGACCACAGGGTTGTACGTTATGAGCAACACGTACCTTTCTCACTCCTGATTTTCCTATTTTTTTCTTTGAATATTTTTCCAAGTCTTTCAAAGTCTACTCTCACCTCTCAACCCAAAGGAGAACAAACCCACTATCACCCAGACACTGTCCAAGCTTCAGCAAATGCTCAAAGTAAATGAACAAAAAAATGTTACTGATACTCTCATTTGGCTACAGCAATCAGAGAGTTAATTGCCAACAGCAGGTAAAATCAGCAGGCTAAAATGTGCATTTTTTAGGATGACAATGTCCCTTTAACCTGAGGTATTTTGCCTCACTCAGATTTCAGTGATGGCAATTTATTGCTTCTTCAGTGATTTTATTTCCTTTTCTTTCTTTCTTGCCCTTGATTTGATTTTGTCTCATTATTTAAAGTGTTTCTTGTGATTCTGCCATAGCCTTTCCTGGTACTTAATTCTCTCATTTAGCACTGATTTTCATGGAGCATGTCCAGTTCAGGCATATCCTGATCCATTAGCTGCATTCTTTTCTGCTTTCCAGTCCCTGATTTATCATACGACTGATCAGGGATCCTGGCCTGTGAATGCTTCCAGTGTTTGGGGCTCAAATGCTGCCAGTAAGACACATTCCTGAATTTTCAACTGTCCTCATCTCTCAGCATCGCCTATTAGCAGCACTTGCAAATCAACACTCTGATTGACATATGGCAAATTAAACACTGGGGAAACAATGGGAGGCGGCTGGCTCTGAGGCTGCAACTGAAATCCTGGCCCCAAACTGCAGGAGCAGAGCACTTCTGAAAATCTGGCCTTTGGTGTGCACAAATGCCAGGTTATGTAAATGATAATAAATCATTCCTTTGTTAGCACAAGATTCCCTTTCCACCCCTAACCCATACCCATCCATCGGAGTCTTTCAGTTACATGTGCTTATATTTAGTATATATTATTCCACCACTGACAGCAAAAATATTCAATCATCTGCCTTATGTTAATATAAATTCAAATTTGCCCTTTAGTGGAATCCTGAATGGCATTTTGCCCTCTCTTCTGTTATGCACCTGTCCTAAAAAAGTTTTTGTTAGTGAAGTACATGGCATCTTGTCCTGGTTTCGGCTGGGATAGAGTTAATTTTCTTCCTAGCAGCAGGTATAGTGCTGTGGTTTGGATTTAGGATGACAATAATGTTGATAACACACTGATATTTTGGTTGTTGCTGGGCAATGTTTACACCAAGTCAAGGACTTTTCAGCTTCTCATCGCCCCGACAGCGAGGAGGCTGGGGGGGGGTGCACAAGAAGCTGGGAGGGGACACAGCCAGGACAGCTGACCCCAAATGGCTATACCATATGATGTCATGCTCAATATATAACTGGGGGAAAGCTGGCTGGGGGTTTAGATTGCGACTTGGGAACTAGCTGGGCATTCACGGTCTGCAGGAGGTAGGCAACTGTGCTGTGCATCACTTGTTTTGAATATTTTATCATCATAATCATCATTATTATTATTATTTTCCTTTTCTGTCATATTAAACGGTCTTTATCTCGACCCATAAGTTCTATGTTTTTCTCCCCGATTCTCTCCCCCATCCCACTGAAGGGGGGAGCAAGCGAACGGCTGTGTGGTTGCTTTAGCTGCCGGCTGGGTTAAACCATGACACATCTCCTTCCAGCCCTGCTGAGCAGTGGGGAAGAATAGTGGGAAGCTGTGGGATAGTTCTCATTCCAGTACATAATACAGCTCTTCTTTTCTCTTTATTTCCCATGATTTTACTCATTTTTTACCCATTCTCTTGCCCAATTTGGAATCTCTCTGGCACACAGCGTTTCCAAGGGAAATATCATATGGAAATTTATCAAAAGCCTCTTGAAAAAGCCATTAGATTATGTCATATGTACACTCCTATTATCAACCTTGTCTGAAACATGCTCAAAAGAACTCAAGGAGATTAGTTAAGCAGGATCGTCTTTTACTAAATCCACACTAGTTATTGCCCATACATTAAATTAATGTTGTATGGCATGCCAGCAATGACAAGTTGATGAGCCCCCAGTCTCTTTTAGGAGATCACGGCACTGCACATCAAGGTCTCATATTGTAATTTCAAAGAAGTTAAGCACTTTGTACAACTATCTCAAATCTTTGACCTAGGACCACAGGTTTTTGACCGTTACTACCAGACCTATGCCTTGTAGAACCAAACGGAACTAACTCATCAAGAGCAAGCCATCAGTTGCATTTAAGACATGTAAGAGGGCCAGTCCTTTAGCAGATCATAACCCTGGCGCTGCCAGTGAGTTTGGGTTACATGGAAAAATCCCACACAATCGCCAACAGATTTTACAGCAGCTTCTGCAAAAGCCATCACAACATCCATTTTCAGCCCATAAACAGCGATAGTTTACTACAAGATGTATTTTAAAAACATGAGGTATATTTAAAATTATAAATACACAAGTACATCTCACTATAAAACCTAGAGGAAGATCACAACAGTCTATAAATCTTTTCCATTAGGGTAAAACCCACAATGTTTGGCATACACCGAGCAATCCAGGAGTTCATCCAGTTGTTGATACCTATTAGGCATAGTCAGAGAATGATCAGTCCTATGTGGCACTGAGGGTGGACATTGTCTACTACACTTATAAAGCTAAATATTTTTCTGATGAGAACAGAGTACCTTCACTGGAATCAAAGGAGCCATCCAAAGCTATTCAGGTTAAGAAGCAAACCTTGGAGAGATGCACCATGAAGAACAACTTTCATCAGCCACAGATCAGCAGCTACTGGGAATCCTAAATGTAGTCTGTCTTTCCTCCCTCTAACACTCCCCCACTATCATTATTATAAGTAAATGCTGTAACGTGTACTGTCCACAATTGTCTTTACCTTTAATAAAATTAAGTAATGACACTAAATTACATCTGCTAACGGAAGGATGGCAGCTCAAAGCTACCCACACTTTAATGTCATTCCCTCCCCATCCTGGAGTAATTTAGGATAATGAACAATGCCATCTTTCACTGTGCTGCTTTGCAGCATTCCCCGTGCTGTAAGTTTTCTTTCATACGATTACAATTGATTTTCAAATAAAGAGAAGCATATCTATTCAAACAAGGTAAAACAATGGGCAACAGAGGAGCTGCTGGAGTAAACATGAGATTGATAAAGCAGTGCTTGACCTATACTTGTAGCATTTACTCATATTCCCCTGTAATTCATTTAGCTTCACTTTCAATTGTTGCATTTGAAGTCCTTAATTTCCAGAGTGCTTTTTTAAAGCCCATTCACAAGGATTTCTATGGCTGATTGTTACACACTCCGCTTCCCTTCTCAGATAAGGATTTGTTCTGAACCTGGCACGCTCTTAAATCCTGAAATTCTGTATGGTCTTTTTTTTTTCCCCTCCCATAAAAGCCTGTGCTGGCAAAAGTCCTTCTCTCATTCCTCTGGAGCTGGCGTGTCTGAAGTCATGTCTTGTTGAAAAGGTAAAAATTAATTCTGATTTTCAGGTTGCATCAGATTATACTAACATTGGTTAATCCCAGAGTTTGTCTTTCACCTCACTCAGTACCTGACAGCATATAAACACACAGACAACTATCACTCCGGCGGAGCAAGGGGTTGATGTGAGGGGACAGATGATGAATTCACACAATGACTTGACTTTGTGCAATAGATCTGGAGTCTGGGCGGTGAAGCCACGCACAGCAGAGTAAAACCAATTAGCTCACTGCAGCCACTCCTAGGGAGGTGTGGAATTGAGATGGATGAATACAAAGATAATTATTCAGGCTTCTTTCTAAAGGGAGTTCCTTTTTTTCCAATGTTCTTACTTTTTTCTAGCTGGTTTTGCTAAAAAAGCTGTGAAAGTAATGACTTGTTCACCTGAATGTCTGCAGGAAAGATTTTTGTGTTGTCTCCAAGATTTGCTAATGATGATACAACATTTGTTACAGGCAGAAGCAGTTGATGGAGGCTGAATTGCCTAAAGAAATAGAGTATTTTACAACCTATAGCTATGGATTAAAGTAGAAGAATATGGGCATCTCAGACCTCTTATTAGCCCTTCCCCCAACAGCTATGACTGCTGCAAAGTGCTGCATCTCCTCTCTGGCTCCCCTAGGTCCAGAGAAGCTGAAATGACAGTGAGTGCATGTGTGGGGTGTCCCATCTCTCACCACTTTCTGCTGCCAGGCCACCCCGTTACGCGGCAAGCTCTGGATACGACGCGACGGGTAGCCGGGGAACCCAGCGCACAGAGGGCTGTGTTTGCCCATGCAAACTGCGTGCGCAGGCACCCAGCCTGAATACCAACCCACAGCTCCTCCATGCTTAAGGGCATGCTTCCAACCAAGTGCTGGCATGCGAGATAACGGTTTACCTTTTCCGCACGATACTTAACAAAGACGCTTGAATAGCAGGCAAATTAATAAACAACTGCGGTCTGGTTGCAGCAATCTGTGTAAAATGGGAAAAAAAAAAAAAAAAAAGACCAAAATCTCCTAATAAATCATTAATTGTGATGTGCCTGCCCAGCTGCAGCATGGAAACAAGCAAATGCCATCCTAATTGATCGCTTTTTATTCCATCTTTATAGGCCTGCATTTTTTATTGTGGGGGCTGAGTAAGCCCAGAGGTGTAAAAAAACCTCTAGATTGTACTCTGTGTATCTGCCAACTTGATATTTAGATCAATAATCCTCTTTCCCCCCCACCCCCCCACTCCTACTACCGGTTATTTAGCTTTTCTTCCTAGCAGCCTAATTGCTGTTTTCTTAAGCCTTACTATCAATTCTCTGACCTTTAATTTCCGATATAGTTTGCTGTATGGATGACTGTACTAGGTCTGCAAGTTATCCCACCCCCCCACGCTGTATGGGTCA